CACACACACACACACACACACACACACACACACACACACACACACATATATATATATATATATATATATATATATATATATATATATATATATATTCAGATGAGAGAAAGAACAGATGGAGTGAAAATCCACAGTTCGTAACATTTAATTTTAAAAAGAGCTCAATGCAAAGTAGAGCAAAATATTATGATTATTTTTATCTTAAGAGATTATATAAGAAGATGCCGAAATCCCTACACAAAAGATATGTTTCAATACTATGATTGTACTTCTTCAGGCGATGGTAAGTAAAATGAAAATTTTTAGAATGATCAGCTTTCCGTTTAGCATGGTCACGTTGTCGTCACAAAAATTTAAAAAATTTTCAGTTATCTGTTTTGGATAAGACTTGTTTTTTATGTCCATCGTCTTTGTCAAATTGAACTGAATTGTATTTTAATGAATATTGTCTTGAAAAATGTTTATTAAACCGAAACGTCAGACGTCGACATTTCATTCATTTTTAAACAACATAATTGCATTTAAGGATTTTTTGTTTGTTTTTTCCAAATTTTCTTCATTCTGTCGGATCTATATCCATTTACATTTGCTTACATATATATATATATATATATATATATAAATTTTCATCTCACTTAATACATAGGACAACACACACGCACACAGACACACACACACACATATATATATATATATATATATATATATATATATATATATATATATATATATATAAGCACATTTCATTGAATATAACAGACACGGTGTTTTGATTTAGTTTTTTTTCATGCAATTTCTCATGCGATCTAATTTTTGTTTTTTATTTTCAGATGATAAATTATATAACAAACGGTCCGAATGTTCTTTTAATCCGAGCGCTTTTTGGCTATATATTTAGCCTGACGTGCCTTAACCGTTTCGGCCACAGAGGAACGTTCGATTAGCAAGTCGATATTACTGTCTTTAAACTACAATCTTCCATGATTCTCTCACGTACATTCATATCTGCTTATGGCGTATCCAAATGTAAAACAAATGACGTCACACATTATGAAATGGACAATCAATTCAACGAACATTCTAAATCACAGCACCTTGTCTGTCGTATTCAATGAAATGTGCTTGAAAGAAGGATTGCTCCCTAAATACACAAAAAATATATATATATATTGGAAGTTCTAAAAAAATTGCGTACGAACATATTCTATTTTATTCGTTTTTTACGGCTTATCAACCCTTTGCAGTTTGTTTAAAGAAAACTATTTTTGAGATAATAATGATTTAATGATACAAGTCTTCCTAATTAACCCATAGATGGAGGAGAAGAGGTGGATCCATACCTTTCTCAAGGGTATTTGCGCGTAAGTGAATACAACGAGCCTAACTCGAAGTGGAACTCGGTTATCCGAATAACAATTACGTGTCATTATCAATCCGCACATCCAAGCTTACATTACATGGTATTTCCAAGAGGCAACTCATCAAGGTACTGGCCAACTTTAACGTTGCTTAACATCGGTGATCGGACAGGGACCGGTTTTTCAGCGTGATGTAGCCGTAAACCGTATGAACATTATAAATAATAAGAATCATACGTTCGCCTATCGTCTGGTTCACACTACTTCCTGGTCTTTTAAACAGGAGTAAAAGTTTCCAGTTCTTCTTTTTTACTCCCAGTAGCTCCCTGCGTCTTAGTGGAATTATTGCCTTGTTTGGAGCGAAATGATTAAAAACAAGAGCAATAAAAATCGAGGATATATTAAATTCTTTATTCTCGAATAGATTTCATACAAACGACCGTTTCGATTAAATAAAGCGAAAAATGTTTATATTTCTATATGTTTAAATTTATTTATCACAAATCATCTGGAAGATTTATTGAACTGACTATGATGTTTGATTAAATTTGATTAATCAATAAGTAGATTTTTTTATTATAATATATCACCTTTTTAATTAATATTTTAATTAGATTTTATACTTTCTATAAAATCTAAATAATATAAAACACAAAACATAATTTAAATTATTCATTAATTTATTTGGATATACACGCTTTATCTTGCTCAACTTAATGTCCTTTTATTTACTTAATGTCCTTTTATTTACTTAATGTCCTTTTATTTATTTAATGTTCCAACATCAATTTAACATGGATACATTTTATGAGCGTAACTTATCGGGTTAACATTCTCAGCCGCCATGAACTGAAAAGATTATATTGAAGCAATTGTTAGATCTGCTGCTAATAATGTTGGTCCACTGTGATGTGAAGGACGATTTTTCGCTCCTGAATCTTACATATTTATAAAGTCTAAAACATGGAAATTATTGTCACATAGGGTCCGGTGCTGCTGCTGCTGCTGTACATTTAGAGATTCTTGATAAAATCATAAGAAGAAACCACAATATTATTGGTCCTGATCCCACCTCCGAAATGTAGCCTTCCTGTGCCTTTTCTATAAATATTTTCATGGCAACTGTTCGGATGAACTCTTCTCTAAGGTACCTAGACCTTATAAATTTAAGCGCAGTACTAGATTGACGGAAAGGTCTCATCAATTCACAGTCGAATTGGCTAGATGTAACCGCGAGTTCTATGCTAACAGTCTCTTTTCTCGCACATCTCGCTTGTGGAACTCTCTTTCAGTTCCAAGCTTTGCAGCCAATTTTAATCTTCAAAAATTTAAATGCAATGGCAATCGATATCTACTGTCTTCTTGATTACTCTTCTATCGGTCTCGCTCCTTAATAATTTTTTTTTTCATTTTTTTCTTATTCTTTAACACTTAGTAACCCCTTGTGTCTTAGTAGCTTTACTGCTTTGCATGGGGTGATATGATTAAAAATAAATTTCCTGACAACATATTTAATTGATGTGTTCACGGACATATATATATATATATATATATATATATATATATATATATATATATATATATGCCTGACGATTGCATCTAGCATGAAACAGACTGTCGCCTCTAAGTGTTGACTTCTATGTTCATTTTTATATTTACACACGCTATCTCTGATATTGATCACTTTATTCCATAAATATAGCACATCTAGAGACTATATTGTCTATTAGTGACATCTTCTCTCTTAACTTCCTTCTCTCTTTTTCTCTCTATGTTTTTTTCTTCTCTACCCCTTCGATTTCAATATATAACTTCCGTTAAGTTAACCGTTTAAATGTTGTCAATGTCTGCTAACTCACTCATGTCTTCTCTCTCCCCCTCACTTCCTCACTTCGTTAATTTACATATGTTTAATACGGCCCGTCAAAAATATGTAAATTTTCTTTTCATTTTTTGTTTCGATGTAAAGTCTGATGTTCCGCAGTCCTTTTAAAAGGGCCGTGGTGAAATAATTTATTACATGGAACCTTAAAGTGGTCATTTTTATTTAATATATATAATCCAAACTAGTCCTATTAACACAATATAGAATATATTGCGTTGCTTAGAAAAGAAGTTGTTCCAGTGACTTTCTACTTTACAATGGAATACGAAGGGAATGAGGATGATTCAGTTCTGCGTACGTGGCATCGCGGGTCTAAGCTGGAAGGAAAATTTCTCCAATCAGGACACAAAGGGTTAAATAATCTAATTTCTCTGTTACAAGTCTAGTCTTTCCTATGTCCCCTAATGAACCATATTGAGAATCACTGGCTTCATTAAAATCTGTTTTGAGAGTTCGACTAAAAGAAACTTTCAATATATTATTAAGCCAAACTCTCGAAAATGGATAGTCTCTCACAGAAACTAAGCTACAATTGCGCCACAGCACATGGAACACACCCAGACTGAGTTAGGAGGTGGTTTTATTTTACGGCATATCAACACCTCAATGAGTTATTTAATGTCGACCAGTTTTTTTTTTTGTTTCTTTGACATATTTTTGTAAAGAGAATTTTTGTCAAGAGTTAAATGCATTGCTGGCAATATATATATATATATATATATATATATATATATATATATAAATGAAATGGACAAAATCCGACAATTATTTTTAAGATATTTTTATGTTTAGGCATTCATTTTATAGGCACAAATATTTAAGTAAAGCGCATCAGGCTAAATGATGGTTCCGTATAGGATACAGGTTCGAATCTTATCGGAGGGACGAATATTTTGTATGAAAATTTCTCGGACATTCAGGCCGGTAAATGTTATAAATACTGTTTATTATAAAAACTGATAATTTACTTAAATTTTTGTATCTCTAAAAAGAATGTATATACATAAAAATGTCGTGTATATATATATATATATATATATAACTGATTTAAAATATGGTTTATTCGCTACACAGTAAAACCTGTTTCAAAAACTGAAGCTGAAAACTTCAAATTTAATTATATAATTAAATTAAAATCATTAGTTCTGTTTCATCTTCAAGCGTATTTTGGAATAAATTATTTTTAAATTTATTGTGTTTTAAACGCACATATAAATTCATAATGTCCTGTTTCCAAGGATACAGAGAAATCCAATCATTTAGACAGGGGCGGTAGCGTGTTCATTTTTATTAACTCTTGTTGTATCAGTTTATATATCTTACTGTTCTTTCTTTTATATATATATATATATATATATATATATATATATATATATATATATATATATATATATAAGCATATTAACGTATATAAATATATCATAAAGTTACAAACATATATAAATAAAAATATAAATCTTTATAAATCATAAACATATATGGGGAAAACAAAACAACATTGTCTAAAATAACATAATTCAGATTGCCAAGTAAAACATTCATAAACTGTCCTCTTTCTTTAGTATATTCTTCAACTTTAAATAACGTCGGTTGAATAATCTTAAGTTGAAGAATTTGCCTAAGCCACGGCATAATGGTGATTTGCTTCATTTATATAAAAGATTTAAAAAATCAATAAGACACTATATCAAAACAATAAGTATCACTCCACCAAAAACTGGTGATTGAGAAAGAAAACAACATTACAAAGATCTTACTGACGTCGAATGTCTAACAAATAAGAAGAGCAACTAAGGCAAGAAAGGTTCTCCCAGTAGTGCTCCAACAGGAAAATGAGAAAGATACAAAACAAAATGTCTGTTTTTTCTTGGCATGTGACCAGAAAAGAAACCCATTCAAAAATATTAAATATGAATAGCGTATTGTTTTGTTTTTTTGTTTTCGGGATATCACAAAGAAGAATTTGAACGCGTCAACATCCTTTAGGGTCTTTTTTTCCTTTTGCAAACAGCAGACGACAAAGCGGAATGAGTTCGTAAAAGATTACGATGAATATATTTCCGTTTCCGGCGTCTCATATGCACGAGTTTGCCATTGCTTGGAAATCTTTCATGCAAAAAAAAAACAACAAAAAAACAGACTACATTATTGTTTTGTCCGTGTATTGTTTAATATATTGTAGTGTAATTGTCATCTTTGATAATGGCTTATATAAGCCGAAAGCTTAGATAGGATTAAAAAATATGTATCAATATTGTGATTTTCTTTCTTCTTTTAATGATAATGCTATTAAGCTTATCAGACGATATGAAAAGAATTTACATAAAATAAAACTTGTCTATATTATTTAATGAAACATGCATCTATATATATATAAATATATATATATATGGAAATATCTTCAACCATCCCCTGACCACTGTTTAATTCCTTTCGTCTGACTGAAACATTGAAATGGATAAATTCTGTATTAATTTTTCAACAGCTGTCACAGTTCCATTTTTAAGTTCGACACGAACTGAGTCTACCCACCGGGTTGAATAAGACTGACAAAGTTTTCGTCAGTTGAAATAGATCTATTCACCATATGATGTAATTTAGGATTTTATTCTGTACCACTATTTATTTACTCTGTAATAATATATATACTGAGCTCTTTTTGTGGATCAGTTTTAATATTTTATATTACTACGATCCACTTGAATTATATACCAACAGATTTATATTACCTTTACTACATACATGCATATATAATATATAATCAAAAATTATGACATAAACATGTTATAACATCACTACAAAAATAGCTGTTTTGTTTCAACACTTCTGCTTCTTGTCAATTGAAGGTATTGTTTGCATTTGACAAGACACCAAAAGTGTTGAAACAAAATAGCTATTTTTGTAGTGATGTTATAACATGTTTATGTCATAATTTTTTAATATACATTATTTTCTCTACTCTGTATTGAGCGCTCTTTTATGAATAGTGTTTTTATTCCGTCTATAACAACCTCATACCTGTATATATATATATATATATATATATATATGTGTGTGTGTGTGTGTGTGTCTCTCTCTCTCTCTCTCTCTCTATATATATATATATATATATATATATATATATATATATATATATATATAATCCCTAAGGAGTCAGGCAAACGGATCGTCAGGACGATGCTGGCATCTCCCTGACGACCCATTTAGTTGAAACATAAGTAGGTTTGCCTGGGTCCTTAGATTATCTTAGTGTATTGAGCACTTTACGTAGTTGTCTTTTTACTCATTTTGTTTTTTTTTCTTTGGACTTTGATCTTGAACGCTGAACGATTGTTTTCGCCTTAGTTTAATGTTCTTGGTTCTTTTTTTCCCTCACTTTTTCTCGTGTACAAGTCGAGCTATCCTATGTTTTTCCAAGCGAATACTACCATTTATATATATATATATATATATATATATATATATGATCGAAATAAAAGTATAAAATTTAATATTACAAGACATATTAAAACAATATTAAATAATAAAAAAAAAAAAAAAAAAATTCAACAACAAGGGGGGGAAGCAACCGGTTTCGCTCCCGCTCGTCAGGCTTCCACGGGAGATTCAATATTAAAACAGAGAAATGTACAATGTGAATAGGTGGAAAAAAAAAATTACGCATATATATATATATATATTTGCATGCAAACATATATATATATATATGCGTAAATTGTACCTAAAAATATCTTTAAATATATATATATATATATATATATATATATACTACAGTTCAAAAGATTGAAGCCACCCCCAGAATTAGCTTGAAAGAACAGGGGAGAAAATGAAAAAGAGCTGTTAGAATCATTGAAAAAAAGAATGGAATCAATTATCAAACTGATACTTTGAGAAATATTTACAACGAATGTCAAAAATTTGTGCTGCAGTAATCAAGGCTAAAGGAGGATATTTTGACAAGAGCAAAATTTAATCATGAAATACTTTTTTTTTCTTTTTGCCATAGTAAAAGTTCGAAAAAAATCATGTTCCACTTTTTAAATCATGTATAATAATTTTCTCTTATTTCAATTACAAAACAACTACATTTGGGCCAAGTTAATAAAAATTACCAGGGGTTGCCTCAAATTTTTAGTTTAGACATATGTATGTATGTGTGTGTGTTTGTGTATTTGTGTGTGTAAATTATTTTCACATAGAGTATATCTGTAAAGGAATAAAATGAATAAAAAATGACAATAGGAAAAACCTATTCTAGAATTCGAACACGGCTCTCCGTTTTCTTCATACGCGGCGTAATCCATTACTCCACCGCACCTCTGCAGTAACGTAGGCTAAATCACTTTCCTTTGTTATGCAGTCGTATTCGTTTTATTTTTGCTTTTTTGTTTTCTTTTTTTTTTTGTTTCTTTTGAATTCAGGCAACTTAAAACTGAATTCGATATTATCGATATCCATCACAATTCAGTAAGATAAAAACATCTTTTTGAATACCGCGAAAACCAAGCGAGTAAATACTGCTACTCTCAGAGGGGAACCTAGTTTTTTAATTAGTTTCCCCATTTCTTTGTTAAATTTTTGCATTTCTGTAGATATTTTTTGATAAAAATTTCACAAGAAAATCAGGAAACTAATTAAAAATGAAAATGAATCTTGGTATAGACTTATAGAATATAACGCTAGAACAACCAAACTTTACAGTCTCCCTAAAACACACCAAACAGGTACACCGATGTGCCTTATCAACTCAGGGATAGACAGCGCCCCACCCCATAAATTGGCAAAAGCTACGACAAAAAATTATAACCCCTCTCTTTGGAAGAATCAGACTCAAATATATACATGACCAATATTTGCCAATCGTTTCAATTATAAAACTGACCAATACTTTTTTTTTTAAGCGTTTCACTAGGACGCAAGGGGTTACAGAAAATTTGGAGCAAGATCAGATAGGAGTGATAGAGGAAAGGATGAGGAGAAGGGTAGTGGATAGATCAAGGCAACTGGAGATGTCGATTGACATTACGTTTGAATAGCTGGAGATTATAGCTATCAGGGAAACAGGAGAAGGGAAGGGAGTTCCACAGGCGAGAGGTGCGAGACATGAAGCTATTGGAGTAGAAGAGACGGCTACATTTAGGAGTTTCAACAGTGAAGGGGTGAGAGCGGGATTCCAGCCTCGTAAGGCGCTGGAACTCGTGACGTCTGGGAACCAGCGAATGCAGCTCCTCGGAGCAATTTCCATGGAAGTATTTGTAGAACAGACAGAGGGAGGCGACGGCGCGTCTGTGAGAAAGTGACTGTAGACGAGACGCCAGGGCAGGGCTAACCACATTGCATATCCGCCTCTGGAGCCTATCAAGAACCCCGAGGCAGACAGAAGGGGCACCAGACCATATATGGCAGCAATACTCTATGCAAGGGTGAATTGTGGGTGTTGGTGATGGTGGATACAATTCTTGCGTTTCCAGCAATTTTAAAGCGCTATTTTAAACTTGATTTCTAAGCCGCTCAAATTGCTCAGAGAATCTAGGATATAGAAGAAAAAACTTACCCTAGCCTCCCCACTGATGCGAGATATGACACAAACACGGGTTAATATGGGGAATCTGAGTGCGTACACTCGAGCCAAGAACAAAAATTCCCCCAGACCCAGCAACTGTTAATTTCGCTGACCTCAGTGCGAGTACCGATCCTTCTCCCTAGTGCTATGAGAGGGTGCAACCTCGGGTATCTGTTCCCTGGAGCTGGGCACCTCACAGTATTATTTTCCCCAGTTGCGGCTCCATCTTCCGACGGAACCGCAACTGAGTCGCACTCTACCTGAAGACAGAGACGCATACTGGCCAAAACTGATTGATGTTTCTCAACACTGATTTCTTGTTTCTTGGAATAACAGCTGAAATTGGATGACCATCTGATGCTTACAATGTTTCTTTCAGACGCTAATTGAGATGATGATCAAACCATCAGTACTCGAATTTTTTTTCAGAAAAGTCCGGAGGGTCGAAAGATATAGTGATTTTCTAAGCTTGACTTAGATGTGACGCAAGGCCGGAAGTATGAGGCACCCAGTGAGGATCGAACACACTACTCAGTCCTAATTGTTCTAACGAAACAAACTTACTAACAGTTACACCGCCTCGAGGTGCTCAAAGGATCGAATGTCACGTAGACTTCAAAAATACAAGCCCTCTCGATCGATTTCTTGTGATTCAAAAAAAAAAATATACCGAAAATTCTTTTGATATATTGATATCGAAAATAGTTTTAACAACTATCCGATGTATGTATTTTCCAGAAATATATTTTTGATCTTCAAAACAATTTTCCCCAATAAATACTATCTGATCAGGTCAAAACCTTTCAAATTGCACTATGTTAATTGCAATAAAAACAGTAATATAAAAAAATATGGTTAACTGGATAGGTTCGTGGACATTGTTGGTGTAGTTTATACACACCTTATCCGGCTAAATAAAATAGTGTAAATAACTCTTCATTTTCCTAGCAGTCTGCACTATCGTCTGCTTCGTTTGCTATTTAAAATTTGTGATATTTATGCCATATTCGTGATATTTATCCCATTTTTGATATTTACGCTATATTCGTGATATTTGTGATATTTATGCCATATTCGTGATATTTATCCCATATTTGTGATATTTACGCTATATTCGTGATATTTACCCCATATTTGTGATATTTACCCCATATTTGTGATATTTACTCCATATTCGTGATATTTAGCAAATATACCCCTGACGTCAATTTAAACTGATTTCCTTTTCCTATATATCTAAGCTATAATTATATACT